GGGGGGTTTTTTTGTTTTGGGGGTTTGTTTTTTTTTTTTTTTCCCTGCCCCTTTTTCCCCAAAACCAAGAAGCTCAGCGTACTTTCTTGGTCTGTAAATTTTTATGCCCGGTTTTCCCGAACCTTTGTTTACGGGCATCTTACTACTTCCTTTAAAAATAGGGAAGGAACCCTTGAACTTTCCCCCGACGTAGCTCGGAAAATTTTTAAAATTTAAAAGTTTTTCAAAAGACCGTACTTAATTTTCCAGATATTAAAAACTTTTTTTTAACAACGATGCCCCAATAGGGTTTAGATGGGGTGTTACTAAAAACCCATGATGGTACTCCTTCCAAAAGCTTCCTAACCGAAACTCCCCCCCGCAGAAACTATACCCACAATAGAAAAGGGAAGTTTAGCCCTTGTGGGGGGTATCCCCAAAACAAAATTTTATTTGAGGGGAAAAGAACATTTTAGAAACGGACCACAAACCTTGATATACCTAGAAATTTTTAAGGGGAACCAACAGTCTCTCTTGAGGGGGACTTGGGGCACCCAGCTTTAAGTTCCATATTGTGTTTACAATGGCTCCCCAAATTTATTTCTTGATTTTAAGCATGCACGAAAAATTTCTTCCTTAAATGACTTCCAAAAGTTAGATTTTTTTTTCCCTCCCCTATTCTTTTATACCCTTGACTTAAGTCTTGGGTATGGGGGAGTGTGAGGGAAAAGTTCAATAGATAGGAGTAGCGAGGGAGTATATAGTAACAATAGTTTCATTGCCGGCTACTTGTTAAGGTAGGGTAAGTCAAGCTCCCGCTATTCTGCCTTTTTTCCCCCTCCCCGAAAGTGATAGTTTGCTTACCGGCTACTTGTTAAGGTAAGGCAAGTCTAGCTCCCGCTATTCCGCCTTTTTTCCCCCACCCCAAAAGTGATAGTTTGATTGCCGGCTGCTTGTTAAGGTAGGGTCAGTCTATCTCCCGCTATCCCTTCCCGCCCTTCTTCCCCCCCCCCCCCGAATGGTGACGTGTGGGGCTCCGGTTCAAACAGTAATCACTAGACTCACAGCTCCCAGCACTACTGTAAGTACCTGCCTGCCTTGTATTCTAGTGGATTTATTGGTTGAAAGTTTCACTTTGACCAATAATAAATTTAGCCCTTTTCCCGTCTTGCTCTAAGTTGACGGGTTGTAATAATCACCACATCTTTTAGGTATTGTACTTATCATGGAGAGTGATTTCTTAAGCAGTGGGTAACCTGTCATCTTTCCAGCTTGGATGACAGAGAGGGTCACTGCCAATCAAAGAGTAGAATTGAGGGAGATGGACTAACGTCCTGAGACTTCCCCTTTTTGGATTTAATTACCTGTGCACCTGTATGAAATTGCAGGATGTGACCCCTCATCATTGCAGCGGTAAAGAACCTGCTTTCCTGTCATCGGGATAGAATACTCATGGCTATACTGTGAAGAACGAACCGGTGGGTTGTAACCAACACCTGCGACCCCCCCCCCCATCATCAGCAACAGCTACGATTTCAACAACACTCAGTGTCACCAACACCAAACACCCCTATATATATAAGCGTTGAGTTCAAATGTTATTTTATTCATTTCATTTTTCATTTTTCTTTCAAACAGGATATACCTTTCATGTTTTATTGTTTTATGTTTGCTTTAATAAATAATAAAGTGTTCATCTTTGTGAATTATTATTTCTTTTTCTATTCATTAATAATCCTGAGGAGGAGCCAGCCTTGGTAATACTGTCTGAAGTTGTTACAGGGCTGAGTAAGCCTTCACAGACCCAAAGCTGTTGTATAGCCATATCAGGAAGAAAACAAAAGTCAAGGACCAGATAATCAGGCTGAGGAAGGAAGGTTGGTAGTTCATAAGAAACGAACAAGAGGTATGTGAGGAGATCAACATGAGATTTAAAGAAGTATTTGCAGTGGCAACAGGAAGGAATCCAAAAATTTCAGAACGAGATATACCAAAAGTGTGGAGAGGAGATCAACCGAGGAGGAGGTGAAGAAGCTGCTATGTGAACTTGATACCTCAAAGTTGGTGGGACCAGACAACATCTCTCCGTGGATCCTTAGAGAGGGAAAAAGAGATGCTGTGTTCCCAAAACAAAGATTTCAACACTTTTATTGAATGGGCAACTCCCTTTAAGATGGAAGTCGCAAATGTTTTCCCAAAAAACCCATTTTTAAAAAAAGGGGAGAGTGACACAAGGCATTAAACGCAGAAAACCTGTTCACTAAAGTTTAGTTTGAAAATCATGGAAAATTTCAGGAAGGTTTGGAACATTTTAAAAGTTAAAAAAAACCAGAGGTTTCAGGAAAAAAAAACCCTGAAAAATTTCGGGTTTTTTTAAAAGGGAGGAAAACAAGAGGGGGGGGAAGTTTGCCTGGCGAAGAATCTTCCCCCCGTCCCAAAAAAAGGGAAAAAAAGCTGGGATAGGAACATAACGAAGGATAGGATAAAGGTTCAAAAGGGGGGGCAAAAGAGTATTTATGAGGGGGTTTCAAATTGGGCCGGAACAGGGCCTACAGGGACCCCCTGGCCCGGGTTTTTTTTTGGGGGGGGGTTTTTTTTTTTTTTTTTAAAATAAACTGGGGTGGGGGCCCCTGGGGGCAACTGGGCCCCCTCCCTTGAATTTAACTCTGCCCATGCAAACATGAAGACCGGGGAAGGGGCAAAGAAGACCTCGGGCAGATTTTAAGCCTAGGCGGCCAAAGACTGCAAACCCACTAAAGGGAAAAAAATCTTAGGGGGAGTATAATACTGGGGCACATCAGTCAGATAACTGCTGCACATACGGGCAAACCTAAGGATAGGGGTTCTGTACCTCTGAAAGGAATCGTTAAGTCTTGTAACCCTATCTCAGGCCTAACTGGAGTATGCAGGCCCAGTTTGGAATCTACACCTGGTCAAAAAAGTCAAGAAAAAAGAAAAGGCAAAGGGTTTCAACAAGACGTCCCAACTAAGGGGGTTGTCCCCCAAGAAAGTTTAAGGGAAATTTGCCTGACGACAGGGGGACAGAAGGGTCAGGGGGACATGATAACGAATATAAAATATTTGCGAATAGAAAAAATGGACAAAGACAGGAGTTCCAGAGATGGGATACAGAAACAAAAGGGTCACAATTGGGAAATTAAAAACTCCCATGAGTCAAAGGGGTGTTTGGAAATATTTCTTTAACTGGGTTGTCAGGGGGTGGGAAAAGCCCAGAAAGTGACGTAGTGGAGGTAGGAACCTTCATAGTTTTTAAAACGAAATTTTAAAAGCTCTGGGGCAGGGGGGAGAGAGGACCTTGTAGCAATCAATGAAGAGGGGGGGCCAGGAGCTTTACTCGACCCCTGCAACCCCAAATAGGGAGCCCCACACACACACACAACACTTCCCCAAAGAAACTGGGCAAATACCTAAGATATGGAAAATAGCAAAATGTATTTTAATTTTTTAAAAAAGGGACAGGCACGAGGCAATAAACTACACCCAAGTCACTGATGTGTATAGAATGCCCATATGGAGAAGATTTCAGGAAGAGTGGTGGGGCACTTAAAAAGACATGCTTTTAAACGACAACCCCCCGGTTTTAAGTAATGAAAATCCTTCACAAAAATGTGGGGATTTTGACAGGGTAAAGGAAGAAGACACGGAGAGAGGGGTGGACTGATGCATTTTCTTGGGGCTACAAAGGGCCCTTTTACCAGTCCTTGCAAGAGGTTAATGCAAAAGCTAGAGGATCAGGCACTCATAACCGGAAAGGCACTGCAGTGGATCAGAGAATACCTGACAGGGAGGCAACAACAAGTCATGGTACGTGACGATGTGTCAGAGTGGGCGCCTGTGACGAGCGGAGTTCTACAGGGGTCAGTCCTAGGATCTGTGGTATTTTTGGTACATGTGAATGACATATCGGAAGGGATACGCTCTGAAGTGTCCCTGTTTCCAAATGATGTGAAGTTAATGAGGAGAATTAATTCGGATGAGGATCAGGCAGGACTACAAAGAGACCTGGACAGGCTGCAGGCCTTGTCCAGCAACTGGCTCTTTGAATTTAACCCTTCCAAATGCAAAGTCATGAAGATCGGGGATTGGCAGGTATAGTCTAGGTGGCCAAAAACTGCAAATGTCACTCAAGTAAAAAGATCTTAGGGTGAGTATAATACCGATCACATGTGAAGCACACACCAACCAGATAACTGCTGCAGCATGCGGGCGCCTGGCAAACCTGTGAACAGCGTTCCGATACCTCAATAAGGAATCGTTCAAGACTCTGTCCACCATGTTCGTCAGGCACATATTGGAGTATGAAGCACCAGTTTGGAATTAAAATCTGGTCAAGCAAGTCCAGAAATTAGAGAAAGTGCAAAGGTTTGCCACATGACTAGTCCCAAAGATAAGAGGATTGTCCTACGAAGAAAAGTTAGACAAAATCGGCCTGACGACACAGGAGGACAGGAGGGGTAGGGAAGACATGATAACGACATATGAAATAAGAACATAAGAAAATAAGAAAGAACACTGCAACAGGTCTACTGACCCATGCGAAGCATGTGCTGCGTGGAAGTCACAAGGTGGACAAAGAGAGGATGTGCCAGAGATGGGACACAGAAACAAGGGGTCACAATTGGAAGTTGAAGACTCAGATGAGTCAAAGGGTTATTAGGACGTATTTCTTCAGTCATAGAGATGTCAGGAAGTGGAATAGCCTAGAAAATGATGTAGTGGAGGCAGGAACCATACATAGTAAACCATACCATGGGTTGGGATAGAACCCGTGATCAAAGAGTCTCGTGTCATTACGATTCCGTGAACCATACATAGTTTTAAGACGAGGACCTAGTAGCGATCAGTGAAGAGGCGGGGGGCCAGGAGGTATGACTCGACGCCTGCAACCACAAGTAGGTGGGTACAAATAGGTGAGTACACACACACACACACACACACACACACACACACTGACAAATGCTTGGTTAAGAAAAATGGATATAGGGTGAAGCCTTAAATACCTGCTAAAAAACTGATAGGCAGCGTCGACCTCCCCTAGAAAGGCGACTCGACCCTCAGCCATGAGCAGGACACGGTCAAACATAGCATAAACTTCAGAGCTGGGTTGATGTATGGTAGAGATGATGGTCTTGCCTCTCTCAGTCATATTCTTCATCACTGCTACAACATTCTGAGCCATGAAGGAGTCTAGACCAGACGTTGGCTCATCACAGAACATCAACGGCGGGTTGGTCAACACCTGTTGGGTTATATCTTGCGTTATATATCATCCTTATATTACGACTATTTAGTTTTATAGAAGAGATATATTAGTGTTATATTAAAATAATACATGAGTTATATTAGGAAAATATTTGTGTTATATTGTGAGAATTACATTAAGTGTTAGTTACATTTGGGTTACATGACATATATTTTATGAATATATAAAAATAAATGTGTTATTAGATTTGTGTTTATTTTTAATTAGATATATATCAGGGTTATATAAGAGATATATTAGATATATTAGATATATATCAGGGTTATATAAGAGATATATTAGGGTTGTATTAGGCTGTAGAAATGGTTATTTTAGGAATGTACTAGCTAAGACTATATTAGTGTTATATCAGGGATATATTAAGGGTAAATTAGAGTTATATTATGGCAGTATAAAGGTTATATTAGGATCATATTATGGCTGAATTAGGGCTATGTTAGAGTTCTTTTTTCTTAATATTAGAGATATATTAATGTAAAATAAGGGATACAATAAGTTTACATAAAAGTTATAATTGGCTTATTTATATATATATATATATATATATATATATATATATGTATTAGTTATATTAGCGATATATTGGGATATAGTACAGTCATATTAAGATTTTATAAAAATCATAACAAAGATTACATTATTAATTGACATGTTAAGGTTATGGTAATATTAAATGTCTGTATTTTAGTGTATGATATATTTGGGATATATTATAATCATTGTCTACGTTATACTCTCATTAAAATCTGTCTCTTGGTTTTCATGAATTACTTGATGAAAGGTAAAAAACCGGAAAAACCATCCCGAGGGACTCGAGGGACCCAAGGGACCCGAGGGACCCAAGGGACCCAAGGGACCCAAGGGACCCAAGGGACCCTAGGGATGGCTTTTCACAAGTCTTGGTGAGTTGTTGTTCAAGTATTGCCAGTGAGTAACTTGGAATCTCAACAGTGTATCTTGAAACGACTGCATGAGCATTTTTCTGACTTTCGCAGTTTTCATTTATAACTTGGGAATGCCTCTTCCAATCGGCTTCAAAATATCAATGCACATTAACTGTAATTAAGGAAAAATTATTGCAGCATTTGGCATTTACTGGTGACCAATAGTCAATGTTACATACTTAAGAAAGAAGGAACACTACAGCAGGCCTACTCACCCATGTGAAGCAGGTCCATATCACCCTCTGGCTTAACCCAATGACCCACTGTTACGCGCCCCTACTTCACTCCATTATATACAAAAATAAAAGGCCTGGTTAAAATAAGTTCTGTAATAATATATCGCGAACCACTTTATTATACTAATAAACAGGTTTG